TAATAATAATAATAATAATAATAATAATAATAATAATACAAAGATTTGTGATTAAAGATAACATAGACAATTAAGTCCTAATAGTTGAATTCATGGAAAACCTAGAAGCATTTGATAGCCGTTTTGTGCTAGTATAGGAATCCTCAACAGTACGTATCCACGATCCCGCCCCGCAAGATTCGAACCCAGGACCAATCAGTCTCGCGCGCGATACCTTGACCACTAGGTTTTCCAAGGTGGTCTAGCTTCACTTTACTCATGATCTCAACTATTAAAATTACTATAATATCCATAAAACCCCTTCCGATATTAAAAATATATTTGTTTCAACAAAAGTGTTTTGATTGTGATTTTCACTTTTTAAACATCGGAGATTTATAATTAAATAAGAATACATTTATGAATCAGAACTACACATTCACAATTATTGATTCGGATAAATGACCTGGCTCGAAAGATATTAAATATCGGGGGGAGGGGCGATTCAACGATCGTTGAAATGTAACATCCTGAAAAGCTATTGCTTATAATGAAAATTACAAAACTTCTCGGTGTATATGTCTATTCTAAACTAAAAGGTTAACTTTAATAAAAGTGAAACAGGTATGTAAGCCTTTCAAATCCTGTATACTACTATTAACATCTGATTGTGACAATCAGTACCGATCTTATCATAAATGACGTGATGTATTTGATCAGCTGCTGATTTTTATATTTTAATGGTCTATCGCAGGTTTACGTAATTTTATATTCAATTGATCATTAATTTTAATAGTTGAGATCACGAGTTGATTAAAGCTAAACCACCATGGAAAACCTGGAAGCACTAGATGGCTGTTTCACCCTACTGTAGGACTCTTCAGCAGTGCACATCCACAATCCCGCCTCGCGGGATTTGAACCCAGGACCTATCGGTCTCGCGCCAGGCGCTTAACCTCTAGACCACTGAGTCGGCATCCAACGATATCAATGTCTAACTTCAACTGATCCACGAAATTGAGCGACACATCCACTATTGTCGTTAATGATATACTATCTCACAACAGACCCGGTTGAACTCCACTGGTCACTGCTTTTCACTAGAACTCCAGGAAATACCACTTGGAGACCGTCACTAGTGAACATATGTTGATAATATCAGAAGGGGTTTTGTGGAGATTGTAGTAATTTTAATGGTTGAGATCATGATTCCATTGCTTCCAGGTTTTCTATGGTGGTCCAGCTTCAATTGACTCATGATCTCAACTATTAAGGTTACTTTAACATCCACAAAACCCTTCTGAAATTGGTTATTAACTCAACAATTAATAAAGGAAGCATACAGGGATTTCGTTTCCTCCACTTTCATTGACATTTCTTTCATCTTTTATTTTATGTTGTCATGTTTTATTTGACAAAATATAAATTCAACACAATGAAATCATTTAAATTGAATGAATTCGTTATATAATGATTCTATTTATGCATTTCAATAATATCCAAATAGCTTGTAAATTTTAATAGTGAAGATTATATAATCTTTACAAATCCACCATATGAATAGTATATCAAGCACTAAATATATTATTGTTTTTACTTTTTCATTAACCAATGAAAATATATAAGTTGAATACCAAACTATTCATGTCCGATATAGCTAAGAGATGATGTAGTAACGATAAGGCATTAACTTCAGCGAATACCATAAATGGGTAAATGATTCGCTTCATATATAGTTGATTCCATAAGTTTCTGTCGGAGGAATCCACGTTTGAACTAGTTAACAACGAGTATACTGTTACTTTTTATATTGTCCAGTCCTTCATTAAAAACTAAGTGATTATTCCCAAATTGAATAGATCTCCACAAATACGTAAACACAGATAAATGTTCTCTACAATTTTTCTAATTTTTCAAAATTATGAGTGTGTTTTCTCCCTATTAAGTTGAATTTTATAAGCCGAACGTACAGTATTGTTGTGTAGTGATTGTAATTGTGAATTACAAGTATTTTTTCCCAATATACTAGCTTTATTTCGTCTCATTTCTTATTACATAGCTATATTATTATCATTTTTATTATTATTATACCATAAACTGAAACTGGTTAACGAAATTATAACAAAGTTGTTTTTTAAAAGATGAGGTTGCTGACTCCATGCCCAACCCTCATCCTTCATCCCGGCTTCGGACCAGCAGTAACCCTAGAAAAGTTACAGGCCGGATACAATCAGATACAATCGGATACAATCAATTATCCTACTACGAGAGAGAATAAACCAACGTTCAGCTGAATAGGAGATAGGGAAAAGATGTTGAAAGTGGATGGGAATTACATTACGGAAATCATCAAACTGCATCACGAGGTAAGCGCAAACATGGAATTTTGAAAGGAAAATATAAAGAAGAAGATCAAATAACATACTTCGTTGGGAATTGGAAACAAACATTAGAAGAATGAATAGAAACTGGAAACAACTGAAAAAGATTGCCCAGAACAGTTTTGAATGGAGAATGCTGGTTGGTGTTTTATGCCCCTCCTCGAGGGGTTACATGTGTAAGTAAATAAGTAATAAACTGAAACATAAACTTCATAGGATAATATTCATTTTTGACACAATTATCCAAACTGAATAAACTATATGGTCACTGTTCTTAACATTCAACATATATTCAGCTGATTATATTATGAAATACTTATACATTATGCACTTTTTACAATTATTTATATTATGAAACAGTATAATTTGAAAATAGTTATTATTGTTTAAAATACAAACTGTTAGATAAACAAAACTCAGTTGATATTTACAAGTATGTTACTACGAAAACAATGGTCATTAGTAATGATCATGTTTATATTACAAATACACTGTTTAAAAGTAATATATGTACGTACATTGGAATGATATCTGATAATAATTAAGTGACGAAATAAATATAATCACATTGTATGATCTATATATTGACATTTCATTGTATAGACGAAATTTTTGGTTGGATAAAGTGTTTGTTGAATGTTGTAAGGAAAATATATGAGGGCAGATATCAAATAGAAAGTTGCTTAGCTTTAATCTATAGTCCGTAGGACCAAATAGTTACCTAGTACCGCATAATATTCAGGGATTAACCAAATATTATTATCGAAACTGGATTCAGGAAGCATAGGACAGTCGTTTTGCCCTACGATAGGGCTCCTTAGTAGTAGGCATACATGATCATGCATACGAAAATTGAACAAAGGAACTTCGGTCTCATGCATGAACGCTTGAACTCAAAAACACTGAGTCAGGATCTAATGGTGTATATATCTAACCTCAATCAATTCATGATCCTGTGAGGCCACTTCCCATGTATGTAACTGCCTCACGCCCGATAGAGTCGAATTCCTAAAGATTACATCCTCACACTAGGAATCTTGGGATTGCATTTAGATGTTGGTCATTAGTGAGCACATGATTATTATCAGCATAAAATTTTGTGGCTATTGTAGAATTTTTTCGGTTTAAATCAGTGGTCTAGTGGTTAGGTGTTGATGCTCAAGACCAAAGGTTTTGAACCTCTATTTGGATGCTGGTTCATGAATACCCATAACTGAGAAGCCCGATACTAAGACGAAACAAATGTCAAATGCCTTTTGATTTTCGGGAGCAGTCCCACTGAGACAAGTTCATGCTTCAAACTATGAAAATCGATATATGTTTGCAATGAAAATTACTTTCGAAATATACCAAATTATTCTTTAAAAAACCACCTGATAATCGTAACAATTCTATTCTCACTACTGGATAGCATGAATGTGGATTTTCGAAAGTCATAACATGAATTCACGATATGATATTTTGAAGAAATAGGGTACAAGACAGTCACTTACTGATGATGCGGTATAAGTGTTGCATCATATCTTGAACTTTGTTCATTTTTATGTGCCAAAATTATTATTATTATCTTTATCATTGTTATTATTATTACACTCGATAATCTTTTTGAGAAATTTTTTCAACATCCACCCCTATCTATTGTATCTGACCTAATTCATATCATTCTACATATTACGTGACTTCTGATTTTTATTCCTTTATTCTCTCTCTCACTACATGTTGACCATATTTATTTTGATCATTATTGATCGAAAGGTTTTTGTGGAGATTTTAGTCATTTCAATAGTTGAAATCATGAGTCAGTTGAAGTTAGACCACCAATGAAAACCTGGAAGCACTGGACGGCCGTTTCGCCTTACTGTAGGACTCCTAAACAAAGCGCATCCACGATCCCGCCGCCACGAGATTCGAACCCAGGACCCATCAGTCTCACGTGTGAACTCTTAACCTCTAAATAAATGAGCCGGTGCAATTTCGTGGATTTGTTGAAGTTAGACATTAACGCCGTTAGATGCCGGATCAATGACCTCAAGGTTAAGTGTTCGCCCTCGGAACCGAAGGCCCTGGGTTCGAATCCCGCGAGTGGGATTGTGGATGAGCACTGCTATGGAGTCCCACAGCCTTCCAGTGTTTTCAGGTTCTCAATGTTGGTCTGAAATCAATCGGTTTACGATCTAAAACCAAAACTTAATGATCTTCACAACCCTATACTGATAATCACTAACTTTATGTTAATAATTACATTTTATTATCAAATCTATTACAGTAAAAAATTGCATAGATAGTATGCATTAGTTTATGTTATAAGTTAGTTAGGCAAACAGAAATTATATAAGGAAACAATTCTGTATTTATCATTCTCACATACAAACTTTTGCAACGAAAAGAAAAGAAACAAAACAAATCAACAATACATGATCACCTATAGAAGCGAATTGAATTTCATACATAATCATATATTATCTATTAAAGAGTGTGTATTTTATTCCCTCGTAAAACATAAAGTGAATAATATATTACCAATAATTTGAAGTTAATAGAAGTTAAATAGAAAAGTTCAATAGAATAATTGAACAACTGAATTCTAAGAAACATTTATACTACTTATAATAATTGTTTTCTTTTTCTTCTTTTTTTTTTCTAACCAGTCAATTTTTCAACAACATCTTTTATTGGATCTGTACATTTAAGCCAACTACATTTTCCAGAACAACATTCTTGATTAGTCCAACAGAAATATCCAGCTGCAAGGCATAGATGACATTTACCAGTAAATAATGTATTTAGACCACAATATAATTGTTCACAACATGGAGAAAATACAGTCTTGGAACAATTTTGTCCTATTGTACGACATTCACCTGAAAAGATATTTAAAAAAAAATTACAGACCATTTGACAATTAGTTATAAAAAGAATTAAATTAGATACGAAAGTTAGTCTATTTGGTTTGAAAGAAGCATCATTTAACATACTTCAAGTGTTTTTATTATATGAATGTATATATAACTCTATACCTAAGCTTACCTTTTACATAAGAGTTAAGGTTGTCTGTTGAAGATTTAGCACACCATAAATATAACATTCCATAGTCTAGTTCAAAATATTTCAATTATATACCCATAGTTTTGTTATACTTTTGTTGTTTAAAGTGTAACTATGTATGTAAAAGATTTAAACTGTAAATTCATCCAAGACATTCTCACACAAATTTCGACTATATTCAACACTTTCTCCATGATTAATCTTCTTTTATTTCTAACGATTTTCCGGTTGACATTAATGAATGTCAAAAAATTATTTCCTAATCATATGAATGAACTAAGGTTAAAGAGATAAAATCATTTCTTTTAACATACACGATAGGAAGTTTGTCAAAGAAGGTCTATCATTTGTGGATTAAGAATGGTTCCTTTGGATAAAAGAACAAGAGTAATTCATAATCATAACACAATAGAACGAAACGGCCCTGCAGTGCTTTCAGGTTTTCCATGATGGTCTAGCTTCAATTGACTGATGATCTCAACTATTTACATTACAAATGTAAACACAAACTGATGATGTGAAATTTTCATGATCTACTGAAACAGCCTAATAAAGTTTGCATTTACTTTAAAACCAATATAAACAATGTATTATTAATAATCAATATGATTACTGATAACTAAGTAAGTTTTTATATTTTATCAGTAGTGTTAGAAAATTACCAAAATTTTATACATTTAAAATTTGCCATGGGTGCATTCATGCCGTTATCATCTGTAATGTCATTTGAACATTTAGTGGTTAGAACTTACATTGCTAATTAGGTTTATAACTTTAGAGTAACATTACTTTCTTTTACACTTCTACGAATCATCTCACTGATAAATACAGTTAAATGCTGAAATTCATAAACTAAACATTCAAGACTATCCTAAAATCTATGATATTGTTCAAAAGCATACTCATTTCATACAATAACCTAATGAATACAGCAAGTTTTAAAAGAATATTAACATTGAATTTGAAAAATTATCGTTTTACAACTAACATATAAAGAACTGTTTTGTAATAGTTAGTTCTTTTACACACTAAGGTGGTAAACTTATCCATCTAATTATTTTGTGTACAAAGACCATATTGTCACATTTACCAGGAAAGTTAAAACAGTGACTTAACGGAAGAAAAGCACCTGTCAACTAGTTTATATTATTTAGTCAATATCAATTGCCTAGGCTTAAATTAATCACAGTAAACGTCAAGCCACATAGATGAAAATGCTGAAAATTTTAATTTCGATCTTGAATCTATCAATGCTTGACTATTAGTGAAAACCTGGAAATAGTGGATGGCTGATTCGTCTTATTATTGGATTCCTCACCATTGCGCATCCACGATCCAGGATGCAGCTGAAAATTTGAAAAATTAGCTCAATGCTAATGTGACCTCTCGACCTATTGTTTCTTACTTTTAGTTATGTATGTTCCACCATATATGAGAAATACTCATTGCAAAAAATCATAGAACGCATGTTTATAATTTTATTTTCGTTTAAAATCTAGTCTATAAACTAATCTGTAAACGTTGTTATTTAAGCCATATTATGATTTCAGTGTTCTATTGCACATTCCTTATAAAACTCAAGAAAGTACTATTACCAGTAGTAATTAAAGCATTTGTAGAAGTAATAAACTGTATACATGTTAACTAAGCGGATTATATTTCAGTCAGATATCAGAAGAGACCTTCTCAACAGAACAATTTGTTCATGTAAAATGTTCACATATGGTGTCAGATGAAAAGATATTCTCTAAATCCGTACAATTGCAAATATTAATCTGTGAAGAATACTACATCTGAACAAACTTCCACAAAACCCCCTCATTAACACCAAAGTCATACGTTCGCCGGTATGTTGCATAGTGATTAATCTATGAAATTGTACTAGGAAGTCGATGAACTGAGTTCGGGCATATTAGCAATGAAATAGCGGTTACCTATGGGATTTAATGGCCAAAACACTATATCAAACTTGACTGAGGTGGGAAATATGTACCGTTAAGTGTCAACTTGGTGTCTTATTAGTCAAGTTCTCCACTCGAGTTTAGTTGAGTTACTGAGTTCTATCCTTGAAATGGTTGGAAGTAGTCACTTTTGTGAAATCTACATTCAATAGATATTCATTGCTATCTGGTTCTCAGTGATTACTAAGTTAAATCAAAACCACCTACATATAAATGTGTTTCCATTATAAGTAATCAAAAAGCATTTGATTTGTATCAATATGACTTACCTGATACAACATTGAAATGACTAAAAATGACAATAGTTACCATTAATATTGCATAATAAAACTGATTCATAATGATGGTTAAAAATGCAACAGTTATGATATAATAACAATAATAAAGAGAAATCTGATTATTTAAATTTATATGTCGTCCCCTAGTAACGTCACATATGTATATATACAAAACCAATGTGTAAGGATATAAAAAATCTAATGTGTCACATGTATAGAATTCATTCCATAATTATAAATGAATATTCGACAATTAACTTACATTCAATGTAGGGATGACTGTCAAAATATATTTGTAAACAACATAATGAGGATTTCGCCGTTTATATGTATATAATAATAGTAATCAGTCATGCATTAAGGACTAAATCTTACTATGCTAAATAATAAGTTTATCAAAAGCGAAATTAGTTACCGTAGAATGAATATTATCTAAGAATCAGTAATCCCATACAGTGGTATGGGTTACTTATATCCACATAGGTAGTATATAACGGTAATCAGACATAGAATGTATTTCAGTAGAAGATCGATAAGGAAAGAACGGAAACGGAACGCAATCGGGATGAACATACATGAACAATAAAATCCGAGACAATGAACTGATATCTGCAAAAGGAATAGTCAAGTTTGAGACTTGAATTGATATTTTGCAAATTTACTATTTACTAGATGGTTCTCAGATTTTTGTGAGATGCTCTGTAATTTCGTTTTAAATACATTCTATTATCTCCACTCGTGTTCTTGTTCACTACAATGCGAGATAATAGAATGAACATAGACTTAAATATCGGATACATCACAAGCTGTTACCAGTTGGCGAATCAGTTAGAATCAGTGTAAAATGATCGGTTGTTTCGTCTAAATCTAAGAATTACCACTGCTAATCCACTGATCCAGGACGGATCTAACCCAAAACATTTAGGTCTTGTGACAAATACGACATTACTTAGTCATTGATTTGATATACACTAGTTTAGACCAAAAATGTTAATCTGTTGATTTATCATTTTGGAGTAATATCACCACTATTATTCCATTATTTAAATTATAAATTCAACAAATTATTCACAGCAGTTTCCCTCTTCACTTTCTTCTGTCACCTGGTTTTCTGTAAATAATCAAGCAAAATTTAAAGATTATAGGCTTTGAGTTTGGGGTTGTGGAGATTATTGAATTTCATTGAAATCATGAAACGATTAAAGTTAATCACGGAACATCATGGAAGATTATCGCGTGACATCGTGGATTTTTTTGAAGTTTGACATTAACACCATTCGATGACGGTTCAGCGGTCTGGCGGTTAAGCATTCGAGCACGAGATAGAAGATCCAGGATTTGAATCCCATCTGCAGGATAGCGGATATGTTTTACTAAAGATTTTCATTCTAGAACAAAGCAGCCGTCCAGTGTTTCCAGGTTTCCACTGGTGGTTTAACATTGATCGGTTCATGATTTCAATGAAAAATAAGTTTTGAATTGTAGTCTGTAGACTAAACATAATTATTTATTTTATGTAAAAAAAAACTGGCTGAATGATTCGTAGACAGATAACATTCTTGCTAAGTGTTTAGTCATTTAATCACTTGGTACCATAATTTCGGATTTTTTTTAAATACGAAGTATCATCAGAAAGTATACTGTCGTTTATCATGTACTGTAAACTAATAAATTAATTAATTAAGTCAACACGATAAACATGATGCAGCTAATAATCTTTCGTGATCATTATCACAAAACTGTGGATAATTTATAGCAACTCACGTTCAATTGAGTTTGCTCTCATCTATTCGGTTAAGCCCTTTTATTAACTTATTAAACGGACAAAGTCACCTGCACTATAATAACTTATTGTATCCTTATTACTGTTGCGAATGTATGTACCTTTATTATTGTTATCCTTGTATGAATATGTATGCTCGGCAAGCCTTACTGCCTACGCATTTATTCACGCTACTAGCTTTACTATTAACCGCTTAATTGACTCGATGATTCATTAATTTCACTATGTATATATATGTCCATGTTATTCATATTCATGACTCGCTCGCTCGTTCATTCACTCGCTCGATCGCTCGCTCTTGCCCTTGCTCTCTCTCGCCCGCTCGCTTGCCTGTTTGCCTTTCGGCACAACTATTTCATGCTTGCTTAACGCATCTGTAATTTTGGATATCTGTGTGTGGTCCCTTAATAAACGTAATTAACGCTTCGTATTCGCCTTCTGATTAATATACCGTTGGAGCATTATTTGGTGACGGTTACCGAGACGAACTGTATACGGAGTTTAAGGAATATATCGAACACCGACCACCACAAATTCCTTAAGGGATTTATGTATGATTATTAGTATAGTAGTAGTAGGTCTAAAGATGGGTTCATTGATTTATTTTCATTACAAGTCATAAATTAAACCAATTATCCATTTCTCAATGTTTACATTTAATTTAGTAGTTGAATTCATAAGTCAATTGAAGCCAGACCACCATGGAAAACAATGTAAGCATTTAACGGCCGTTTCATTCTAGTATGGGACTCTTCAAAAGTGCGCCTCCACGACCATTTAACATTATTTAAGTGATATATTAACTGACTAAAACTTTGAAAAAATCACGTATGTTTAAACAAACTTTCAATATAGTTTATAAGATATTAAATGATCTGGAATCCCTTCTCACTTTAAAAATTAAACGACATATTCCATATGGAGAGAAGACATGTCCTCGAGGTTTACTTTCAATGTTTAATCTGTATGCGATATCAAGAATTTTCTGTTATTTTTCCACATATTTACTTGGTAATTATTGCATATCAGAGCATAATTTTTATTGAGGATTATAAGTGTTCTTTTTTATACAACAAGTTGGAATGCTCAACAGTGGCTTGTTCGTAAAAGGCATATGTAGATAGCTCAAAATGATTTTAATGATATCCTGAGTAGATTTGAAACCAAGTTCTCTATTTAAAAATAAACAAAATAATATTCATTGGATGGTGGTTGAAGGTAGTCAACAGGAAACCCCGGACCTAGATTTCATGCTACATTGCTCTCATCAGTAAAGTGTACCTGTAATACTGAGGGAACTGATGTTCCTTGACGGATTCGATCCCGTGTTACACAGCTTCACAATCGGGGACGTTACCGCTGAGGTATCTGGGACGACTGACCTCCTGAAGAACTGATATGTATTTACAATTTATTGATCACTGGGTGGTGATCTATGATATGAATGTCAGGTCTTTCTTAGTGCAGATCGAATCCTGTCAATCAAGTTACGATGTGGCCACATGACATCGATCACCACCCAGTGATCAATCAATTGTAAAATAATGTTTATAATTTAATACTGTTCTTATCTAAGTTTATTTCACTTGAATAACCTTAGTGTTTGAATTTTTAAGATAAACTTGTCGGCTAATTACTGATATTCATAATTTATAGATTTATTTTATGTCAATATTGATATAACAATTAAAGTCGTTCCACATACTGGTTTAGTTTAATGTATAATTGTATCCTAAAATATAGTTAACATTAAACAATGATTTGGTTCTCTTTTTCCTGAAAATAGAAATCTTGTAATCTCTTCATAAAGTAAGCCAAGTTAATCAACATTCAAGGAACTGGAGTTCTTTTGTTTAATTAGGTATTACGTCTTCTAGGAGTATCCGCCCAATATAATTAAAATTCTTGCTCAAATCTTTAGACTTCAGGAAGATCTATTAAGTCCAAATCGACAAATTCAATAAATGAATTAAGATTGAGTAGAATTTCTCATTTAATTCTGAGATTATTATGCAATTCAATACATGAATTATTTTTAAGATACCACACACTTAGTTGATAACCTTTTCCGTAAACACAGTTTCCAGATGATGGAATCAACATCATACAGCTAAAGTTTGCCACAACCTATATATCTTATATTCCATGTACTATCCGAACACTGAAAATGTGAATATACACTACCAAATAAACCGAGTGGAGCTTCTATTTGTGGAACAATCAATTTAAATCATTCATTTGGTACTACGATCATTGTAGAACTGCCTTGCCCTGTAAACTACTATTTTGTATGCAATCACTTGAAATATTCTATCCCTTTATAGTAAATAACCCTACAGTATAACTTAGAATCCATCGATCACAATAATCATCTGTATCATTAAGAATCAAAACTCTACATCCTATTTTAATGTTAGATAATCGTGCGATAGGAAAAAAGTAACGAAAGAAAGTAACGAAAAGGAAATATTATTGTACCTTTATTCTGAATTTATACTACTTTAAGGTCGTACTATCACCAGCAAGTGCAAATGAACCTCAGAACTTTTACCTTGATAATTTTTAAATAATCCTCATACAGTTATCTTGAATGTATAAGTATAGTTAACTAGCAATTTGTCCGTCAATTGATGTTTTACGGATCAAATGCTCGTCATGAATTAAACATTACATATGTACTTAATGATTAGTAAATAGTTGAAACTTCCTTAGGAAAAATAAGGCACTGTAAGCTATTCAGAATTTAAGCTAGTCAGAATTTAAATGAATGTCATCATCCTACTGAAGAGAAATCTTTAAACTCTGAAATCTTTAAACTGTTTAGGAAAAGATTCTTCAAGTCTATGTTTGTATACTTCCTTTTAAAAACGCCAACAGTAATTTAACACAATAGTAATACTTCTTATGAACTGAGTATTTATAATTTTTGATCTTTATTTTAATTAAAACTTATGCATTCTGTATTTAATACTGGTTACCTAATTGATATATATGTATAAATCACAGTCTTTAACATTCTTTTTATCATAAAGTCTCAATGAATAGTATAACCCTAAAGACGAAAACGAACTATTGCTCCATTGTGGTGTATGTTACTTATTCTGACAGATATAAGTAGTGTGTAGCATCAATTGGAAATAGAATACCTGGCAACAGAAGATTGAAATGTGGGGAACAGGAAGGAAAACAGACAGTAATCGAAATAACAACAGAATCAGTGGAATAATGGAATATGTAAACGACAATGTAAAAGAGATGTACAAATGATGTATTTAATGTATGATTTTCATATTTCACTAAGCCAGTGTGTAATTTCACAATAAACAATAAATTGGTTTTTCTCACCTGAGTTCTAGTTCATTACCCTTTGACTTCATTCATCATGATACCACCAATTATACGTACTTATACATATTATAGTGAAGAAGAAGCATTATTGTGCTTATTTTAATAAATAGATTCAGTAATATGAAATGTAAAGATGTAACTGATGTAATTAGGAACTTCACTAAATTAGTTAAAATGTTTAAAACACCAAAAGATCACCGGATTCAAAAGTAAAAAATAACACTCTCTACTATATACACGCTTTCGTAATGTATATATCCAAACGAAAATCACAGTATATGATAGCTAAGCAACTGACGTTACAGATATAAAAAAAAGCAATGAAAATCTTTGGGGGCGATTGGTCAAATTCAAAAGAAGCTAATTTTTATATCATCAGTCAATCATCTATAGCTAAATAAGATCTGAAGTTTTTCTAAGGAAATAAAGAGATTAGTTTTCGTTCAACTAGCAGTTTGACAATGATTGTCAGTGTTGACAATCATTCAAATGAGGTCTGAAGTTTCATAAAACTTGTTGAGGAAACATATGACTGATATAAATAGTGTCCTGCAATCCCCTTTTGAGGACTAAAATATATTCATCTAAAAAAAAGTAAATACCCATGATTAAATATGAAATCAAATAATCACTAAAGAAGGGTGAAAAATAAGCAAATAATGTTGTTATGATACAAACCAGACGTTCCACTTTAGCTTTGATTATCAGCAGGGATAATATCAATAGATTTCTCTAATATACATTTTAAGTATTAAATACAAATAATCTGAATGAATTATTGTGTATATCAAAATGAACTAATAAATATAGTGAGAAAGTAACGTTTGAAAACCTGTAAAGATAGTACAACTTGTTAGATTAACCACTTATGTGTTTATGTGACAAGATAAATAGTTGCACTGAGTTATATGCCGGTTAATATAAATTGAGAAATAAATTTATATCACGACAACTTCAAAAGAAATTCTTTTCAGTTGAAATTTTAGGATTCGTAGAACTAGGAACAACCCCCTCAAACAGGTGGTATTTTGATAAAGGCTGTTGATATTCAGTAAAAGTAGCTTCTAGTGATGAATTATATTTATTCGATTACCGTAATATTTGAAGAAATGACAACATATGCTTTTTCTCACTTCAAATCACCAACTGACCTTAACCAGACCACCGATGAAAACGTGTAGACACGGGATCACCGTTTCGACCAAATATAGGAGTTCAGCTATGTCGGGTGTGAGACAGTTATATACTATAGATAATGGAAGATGGCCGTACGCCCTGCTCACAAGTGTCAAATAACACGAGACCTAGGTTCAGGTTTTCCTATTGACTATCTCAAACCACTACCTTACATAACCACACTACATCATGAACTGATTGATGTTAGATATCTGCACCACTAAATTCTGACTCAGTGGTCTACACTTCAAGCGTTCGCACTAGAGACCGAAATACCTGGGTGTACACTACTAAGGAGACCCAAATGGCGGTTCAGTGCCCTCCAGTTTCCAATGACAATCCAGCTAAGATCAGTTGATGATTTAAACTATGAATGTTCCACATTCTCTATATATCCAAATGTACAAATAACATATGTTGATATACTATGAATATAGTGGTAATATAACATAGAATGACAATATTTTCACATAAATTATAACAACACATAATTCACTCATATGTTTAACAGTTTACATTATCTAACAAGTTTTCACGTGATAAGCCAACTTTAGGAAAAGATGTTTACATATTTTGTATAAAATAGTTTATATGTATAATATTCGTTCAATCAACAAAATAAATTTACCAAATATCAAGTATAGGATGATATATCATTATTCTGTGACGTGAAAATAATTCAATAACTAATGATCATGTAAACATATAACTTAAAAGACTGAAACCATTCATTGCTGTCTGTCAACTAGATGATTAACTTGTTTATCGTGAAGTTTATGTAAAACACAGTTTTATAATGTCTGTTTATTTGTTTAATTAAGCGTTTGCGCGCGAGACTGAAGGCCCTAGGTTCGAATACTGCGAGCGGGATCGTGGATGTGCACCGCTGAGGAGTCCCACAATAAAACGAGACGGTTGTCCAGTGCTTCCAGATTTTCAATGGTGGTCTAACATCATTCGGTTTAAGATCTCAATCAAAAAATTGACAACAGACAATGTAACTAAATGAGACTAAATTTTAAAAAATAATTGACATTTTAAAGCGTTGAACAGTTTAACACGTGTTCGATTTCCCTGACAATGCAAAGAAATTACTAATTAGACCAAAGACTGATAATGTATGTCAAATCTATCTGTCAGGTAGTTGCTGACATTGTACTGTGAGATTGAACAAAGGTTAGTAAATTTCTGAACTTCACATGTTACAATGTGATACAGCGCAAAATTATTCATATTAATTTGAATTAAGGTAGATATTTAAAAAAATCAAATTATCAAGATTATAAGGGTTTAGTAAAGAAAGAAAATTAAGTAAAGATATTCATGTAGCCCAATGGTTTAAATTTAAAACGCTCAATGCTAACTCGATCAGTACAGTTGTCATGTTTACTTAAATTAAGGAGTCTAACAATGGAACAAAACAACTGTGTTGGTCTTTGGTTTTTATTAGTTCTTCAGTTGATATTACTCTGTAACAAAAACCAACTTTATTCATAAATCTATCACAGCATGTCTATATCAGACTGAGTGAATAGTTTTACCAACTGTCGAAAATTTCAAAATCGTTAGATCTGTTTATGACAATTCGCCTTTCACTTGTACACTCCATTTATAATGTAAACAACTCCATACACTAAATTATGTCATTTTACCACTGTCCATTTTGTATTAATCCAAACTAATTCATGTTTATAAGCAAAGATGGATAGTGGCTAGCAGTGGAATCCAGGACGCGTGTTTCGTCCTGTTCGGGACCCATCAGCTGGATGTACCTGCATCCCAGAGTTGATGTTCACTCCGGGACTCGGATCCAGTACCGTTCGCTTCAAACTCCATAGCGTTACCCACTTAGCTACTGAGTCCTGACAGCCACCTTCTTGTGCAATGGGATGAAGTTTAAATTCACTTGGTGTTGTTTTACTTGTATCTTCCTATTGTTATTTAAGACTGCAATTGATCAGTCTCATGTTGACATATGTGCATCCTTAAGACTATATCGAGGCAATCCGCACAGGATGCACATATACCAAAATGAGACTGATCAATTGCAGTTCTAAATAACAATAGGAAGATACAAGTAAAACAACACCAAGTAAATTTAATTCGTGCTTAGTTTATTAAAAAATCAAATCCAATATTGCTTATAATAGTAACTCATGAAATATTGCAATCTGGATAGACCAATAAATTCAGATGTTTTGTGAAAGACTATGAAAAGTTTCCCAGATAGATGTGTTCTAAACAAACAGAAAGTTAGCTGTACAAGTTTGCCATTCATTGAAAATACTCACTTTAATTGCTAACATTTAATGGAATTATGTGTTTTAGACTGATTGATTCATAACCACAGTGGCTAAATCATTTTCTGCCATTTTTTATTGTTTATACTTTAACATACTAATGAATATCTAACTTAATAATACGCTTTTTAATAGGAACTGAGATCGATTTCAGTAAGTATCTCAATACATTTGTTATCGATGATTACTTATATTAAAATAATGATATGTATTTGTCATTTAAACAGACTGTGGTCTTGTAACTGATACCACGAGATGACCTTTTCGGGCAACCAAAATAATAGCAATCACTAGAGAGTTGTTTTGTCTGAGTACATGACTCCTCAGTAGTATGAATCTGTGATTCCACAGGGTATTGAATCCAGGGTTTCCAAATTTCTCAGTGAGCACTTGACTTCTGGACGATTAACCCTATATCCATTATTTTACATATCCAACTTGAGTTGATTCATGATATTATGCAACCAACTTCAAATATTATTGATGGGTAATGTATAAGTGTACTTCTTCCTAATATTCCCTAGTTTTTATGGTATCCCAACTGAGATCAATATATATGAAGAAAACAACTTACAGAATACTATTAATCATTGCAATCATTCAAATAATTTCATTGGTTTAAATAATAAATTTGTGTACTATACATTTCAAAACTAACTTATTTGACAATAATCCAAATATTTATCAACATTTATATTCACTGTCCAATTATTCTTTGTTATAATCATATTGACCATGTAATATATATATATATAAAGAAAGTATTAGTAAACACTTGTAAATCATATACTCTCAACATCATTATGTTATATTCACAGATAGCATTATCAATTAGCCTTGTAATAATCTGGAACATTCTATCAACAAAAGGTAAGATTTGTTTATTGCATGACACCTGAAATATTGAACTTTAACTGTTTAAATTGATATTCAATGTTATCAAATCTCTTGATAACACCACCAATTACAAATGATAAACATTTCAATATGGTGAAAATTTTCACTTTAACATTCAGTGAAAACAAAACAGATACAGCTCTATTTGTTCTTTATAGACATTTGTTGCTAAAATAGATTCTAAAACATAATAGGGTTATTTGGATAATGAAGATCGAACAACTAATGAGATTCTTATATTTCTGAATTATATAAAAACACTGACTGATTAATAGGTCTTAGATACCATAGTTGTTGATTTTGTAAACATCTCTTGTATACAGTTCATTATCTCTTAATCATACATAACTTCAGTCAGTTAAAATCTTTTTGTAAGAAATAAACTGTTTATCAACTGATGGTAGGTTTCAAACGATTACCTCATCAGTAATCAAAGTGAAATAAGTTTTACTAAATGACTGATACTTGTTTATTGAAGCTTATGTAATGGAAATGATTTGTGGAAAAGCAGTGGATAACAGCATCCAGTATCAAAGTATGGAAAGAATTATTTTTGAAAACATCTGCTTGTAATAGAACCTATAAACGATAAATGATAAACTATGTCGTGATTTAAAAGTATGTGGGAGCAGTTTAAGAGTTTATGAAATTATTTATACTCGAGTATCTGAACTAGTTGCCACCTGTGTCTGGTTACCTTTATTCAGTGAAAGGTGTTAGATAAAAAAGAATTAGGTTGAATCGAGTATTATCACACGAGAATATTCCGCTGATAAATGAAGTCACTAAATGTACCTATAATTCATCTGAGAAGCTTTTTGCTTTTAGCGCCAATGTCGATAATTTAGTAAAAATTATTAATTATGTACTTCAAGTGACAACAGTTTAAAATTAATCGTTATCATACAGATACATCTATCTTGTTCTAATACTAACGAATGATCTGTAAGTAATTGACTTTTCTTCTTTTTTACTGTTGCACCTAATACAAATGATTCGGTTTAAAGCAGTGTACTATGCTATTAACTCATCATTAATGATTGAAGCAAGAGTTGAAATTGAATTGCCAAAAGGTAGAGTACTAAAACTCATACTCATCGCCGAGAATTTCAAGGTTATGGAATGACTATTTCGGACTTATATCAATGGAAATAAAGAGAAGCCTCTAAAAACATATGATCCTGAACAATCTATATCTGATCTTGTACTAATTAGCATTAAATATTTCAACTACTTGAAGTTAACTAGCGTTACAATTATGAAAATCATCATCGAACCTCTTGAAGATCTGGAACTTCAATTATCTTTTCCTAGGTAAATAAGAAAAGTCTTATATACTATATATATGTGAAATACATAACCAGTGAAACTAGGTTAAATGGTAGCGATTAGAAACCCATAGTTTGAGTACAGATTCAATTTAAAATCCATCAAGTTTCAAATACATGTGCTTTCATAGAGATAGTAGGATCAAACTGTTTAATTCCAGGTGGTTAACAGTAGTTGATAGAAATATAGGTGTATGTTCAGGGAACTGTTAACCTCTGTGGGATTTGAATCCGGATCACTTTGTGTCCCGATCACAGATGTTAATATTAAGATATCTGTCCTGTAAATGATCTTTCATGATACTAAGTTATTTAAATTAATCTATCCTTCTGTAGTTACTAATTTCATGTTATATTCTCCTAAGTGGTCAATGAACTCTATCAATCAAGTAATATCAATTAGTGAGCTAACTGAATTGATACTTAACTAAAATTGAAGTAAGAACAAAATTATTAAATATAACAGTAAAAAGATACGATGTTTCTCATCAATATTCATGCAGAAACCCTACCTAATTAAATTGACTGAAGTAGAATGAATAGATTGGCTTGTCCGAAAGCTAAAATAAGGGTATGTGGGCTTAACATAACAATCGACACTGTAATACACTATTCGGTAAATTGAACGAGCTCTTGTACACAAAGTTTTCTTTATTATTGTATCAACCACAAACGTCTTCAATTTTCCTATTCTTTAATCTAAATTTTTCTAGGTGACTGTATTCCATTGAATGGAGCTTGTACAAAAACTATATTTGCTCCATGCTGTAATAATACAGTATGTAAATTGTCTGGGCCATTCTCTGGTAAATGTGTGGAATGCCTTAAACCATTTTCATGGTGTTGGAATAGTGATGAATGTTGTTCAAAACAATGTAGTTGGTTCAGATGTTTTAATAGCGTCGAACAATAAACTAAACATAATACATTATCTCTTGTCATTTTGTTTATTGTAATAATGATTTACTATCTATTGATTTATTTTATTTAATAAAATTTGTACTTTAACATAAATGACTGTCCCTTTTTGATAGATGTAATTAGTGATAGTCTCCATAAACGTTGATGATTAAGTCATCCAATTTGTTAAGGTTCTTCATATCATATAAGATAGAAAAAAATGTCATTTTTAATGCTCAACTTGGATATTATTCATCGGAAGACAATCTACATAACGACTTAAATATAGGTTCCGTTCTAGTTTGTACATATCAAAAATAATGGTGTACAAACTTGAGGAAATCGGTTCTCTCGATGAAATTTTGACAAGCTGGCACAAAAATTAATAGAAAGCCATACGATACATATAAAGTGTCGCTTTATTACAGAAAGAAATTTCTAACACTTTTACACGATAAATTCTATCCTACTTAAGTGAATTTTGTGAATGTTACTTCCCTCAACTCAAACACAAATAACGATCTGTGATTAGAGAATATCAGATGTCACCACCTATAACAATGGACAATTATGAATATAAACTCAATGTGAGTGAATGTGTAAATATTAAGCATACAAAACCCACATGATACATTCGACAAGTTCTGTGTTATGTTAAACGGGCAGCATATCAGCATAGCTCATAAATATTAGACCATTAAATTAATCAATGGGATCTAACTAAGAGTATTAGATTCCATCTGTTATCAGGGGAAATTTCTAACATTTTTATGACATATATGTTGAGAACTAAAATAGCAATAAAATTCCACCTAAGTAATGGCTTACTTTGATGATTCTAACTACTCACTCCACCATGGCTCCTGACCTGAAGTCAGGCTTGTGATGACCAAAGCAAGATGAATTTGTTACAACAGTCTTTACCTACTGTCCTAAAAGGCCGTATAGATCACCTAAAGAGCCATAGAACTAAAGCCTTTAATGTAACACTTGGAAGTAAAGTTGTATTTCTAACTAAATCAAAATATGGCAACAGTAGTGTTTCCCTCAAATAACTAGCATTTCAGAGTTTCTTTTATTTTCTAAGGCAGAATAATGGATCATAAACAATCAACTCTAAAATCAGCACACTTTTATTGTGATGATTTAAAAGTCATTTTTATCACTAGAAACCTAAAGGATCTCTATCTACCCAGCCAAACAGAAATTATCTACAAAATAAATGATGATGAAAATTACATATCTAAGCTTTTATCTAATCTTCAACTTCCTTCTCAACATGTGAATCCGATATTTTAACTCTTCCATTTTCAAATAATTATCATTATCACATGTCTTTATCTTAAAAAGTTTTACTTTACATAATCAGATTGTCTTATTATCGTAAAAATACCACCTTAAGCAATCATAAAAAATGCCCCCAAAAAACTCTAATTCGTAGGTTTCTTCACACTATATACAACATAGTCCTGATTGATTGATAATTTATTTTTCGACAATATCCAAATATTATTGAAATTACGAATTAAGTTAGACATATACCAAAAACCCTGAGTCACTCGATGGCCATTTCGTCGCATCATGGGATTCCTCAGAAGTGTGGATCCACAATTCCGCAACCGAGAATCAAATCCAGGACCTTCAATCTCATGATTTTAATAAAATTCAATAATCTTCACAATTCCATACTGGCAACATACTATTAATTAGAAAAAATTAAACATACTAATTTGTATGTAACTGAACAGAAATAAATGAAATGTTATTTCTTGATTTATTTAAATTTAATATGCAAATAAATGACAAAAGAAAATGATAATGAACTGCTTCGGATAACATACTTCTTTATCATAATTCCTCTTCATCACGAAGCATCTTTATTATAAAAAAAAAGGATTATAATTCCAGATAATATTCTATGTCATATGAACTAGTTGTGACATTCCATCTTGACGCTATGGATTAGATGATATGATATTAGTTATCAATGACATAGTTAGATATTATGATGAGTCAAAGATCATGGTGTTGCCACCAACTGACACTAAGTTGTGCTCATTCTGAAATCAAAATTCGTATATGGCGGGAGCCTATAGTCATTCAACTTAGGTCTAACACTTCTTAATGAGTCGGTGGACGCACCTAACTTACAAAATATGGTTAAAATGAATAGCCTTGATACTTTGTACTACTTTTCTTATGACTGATAATTAATAAAACATTTTTAATCAAGTTTGTAGCTACAGGTTATGAATATTCACAAACTGACATTTATTTTTCACGAAGAAATTGAATGTTGAGCATTATATTATTTGAACTATTATCATTTTGTTAAAGTTTAACTGTGATACTTGTATTTATTCACCTATTTTGAGTTTGATTGTCATCAGTTTGCCAAATGTTTTAGTTAGTATTTGGGTTCGAAACTAAATAACTCCATCGATTCAACTGAATGAGAACCCAGTTATGAAACTAATTTATAAACTTCTTTATAAAACATTCAACTATGTTATATATGTAGTTGTATACAACTGGCTTTTATTACTTTCGTAACTATAAAGTTAATAATCAATCAGTAGTCGACAAATGTCTTACATTCTTTTTTATAAACCAAGCAAAAATGATTGTAACGGGAATGTAGTTTTTCATCTTATTGAACCGTCCCGTATTCAAATAAAATGACTTTCATTTCTTTAGACTATACTAGAAGGACTTTTCTCATTCAAATAGAGCGAAATGTGCCCCTATATTGTAATGTTGTTAAGTTACTGAATAATAGAACAGTATATCGCTACCATTGTGCTTGTAGAAATAGAAAGTTTTCAATATGGTACGTTACATGTTTATATAAATTATATAAGAGTATACTACATTTCCTTAACATACAGGACAATATAATTCCAACTTATCAATACATATACCCAAGTCCTTGAAAACATTTTCACACTGTACAAGAAATAAATAACAAAAAAAGTTATGATCAACCATAGTTGTTTCTTAATTTTATTAACATTAACATGGTATTGGAAATTAGATGCTTTTACAGGTAAGTGATGCTTATATTCTTCTTGTTCTATGACTAACTCTTATCGTTCAATGCAACATTCAAGATAGTGGAGAAGATTTATAACTCAGGTGGATGATTTTGATGGAGTTTTGTTCTCTGATCTGAATGGTTTGATCATGGAGCTTTCATCGTTCTTGTGAACAACATCATAAGCACAAACTTCAGCGAGAAGATGCTTCACGAACAAACCATCCAGCTCAGAAAACAAAACTTCATTAAAATCATCCAAGTACGCATATATATAGTAACAGAAAATGTTCAAATAGGATTCATTATTAAACCAAACATTTTTCAGTTTAACTAATAATGGCATAACCCCTGTTCAAATGTGCACAATTCTGTTTAATAATCCAGTTCCTATAAAATAGCAGTAATATATAGTAGCCTCAGTTAAAAAAAAAACACGTATAAGTTTATTTTTGTGGTTTGTAAACATTTAAAAAATGTTCTTTGCCAACTTTCAAGAAAGTCACACTTTGAGAATATTATAGGTTTTTGAATGCAGTGTATTCTGTTTATAATATCATCAGATGACACATTTCACAGGTTAATTGTATCCAGTAAACTCTTCTATTTGTTTTATACAGAATAATAAATGAGTTTGTATCATCTAACTGAATTCCCTATTAAAAAAGGTTGACTGGTTTTGACGTTCTCATTGAAGATTGTGACTTTGATATTGGTTGACGGTTGTTTTGAGTTGTATATGTTCTTCAGTTGTAGGAACGCGGCGCTTGATTTGCCAATCCTTGCCTTTACGTCTGCATCAGATCCTCCACGTTCATCGATGATGCTTCCTAGATACATGAAAGATTCCACATCTTCCGAAGTTTTTTCCATCAAGTGTGGTTGAGTTCGTGTTCTCTGTGTTGTATTTGAGGATATTGCTTTTTCTTTATGCATATTGAGACCTACTACTGCAGAGGCTTTTGCTACACTGGTTGTCTTCACCTTCATCTTTTATAATTTATGGAATAAGAGAGCCAGGTCATCCGTGAAATCCAAATTGTTTAGTTGCATCCAAACTGTCCATTATATTCCATGTTTCCCCTGAGATGTGAAAGTCTTCTTAGTCCAATCAACCACAAGAACAAAGATACCTTCAAGTTAGGCGAACTAAAAAACAAGCGTATTAACATTAAAGTTATTTAGGTATTTACACATATTGGTCACTCATTAGTAGTGAATATCTTCTAGTTTGGTCTGTTACTGTTGTTTAAAATCTATCGAGTTAGGTTGCTACATGACCACTAGCCTTGGTGACATGAAATTTCAAAACACCATATTTTACTTTATGTGATTTTAAAGAATCTATATTAAGCCAAACATTTTGTATTAGTTGGTAGTCTACAATCGTGAGGAAATTTTCGCTTTCATAAGATTTAAATTCACATCTTTAAACTTAGTGATGTTGTTACTAAGATAATTCAATTACAAGTGATCTGTTGTTTTAACTAGTTCATTAACAGTGATCGATCATAAAACGAATATCGGCTATTGGTAAATGTTTATTTTAAATGTACTTCAATATCCAAATACTTCATTACACGAACTCCTAGTGTAATACACAGGATGACTATGGTTACACATGCTGATAACTTAGTACACGTGAAAAAGTTTGTCAAGCCTAGTAAATTAGATATTATGAAAACTACAAAACAAATATAGAAAAGTACATCAGTATGACAGAGCTACTACAATTTAACCTCAACCGATTAATGTCAGAATGTTTTGGTGACATGTAATTTGCTTTCTAAAGATTTTACCAGGAATAAAATCGGAAATTGTTTATTGAAATCAAGAAATCTCATTTTAATCTATGTAAAAAAATATTGCTACAAGCCAGTGAATTACTAGTCAAGCTTAACTCCCATTTATTAGTTTGACAAGGAGACGAGTCCTAAAGTAAGCTTATTAATATCAGAATAACATGAATGTACTATTCA